GGGAGCGGTGTGTGCCCCGAGGCCACAGAATGCCTTTTAGCGTTTAAAGCAGGGTGGTGGTTTGATTAGGTCTCCGTGGGGAATGGCTTAGAGGAAAACAAGAGTGCACGCAATGGAACCAGTTAGTGTAGACATCCGGGCTCCACGTCGTTAATAGACTAGACAGGGAGCGGAGAAGGACCGGGAGGAGGGGCAGAGGGGGCTGAATTCGAGAGCTCCGGCGTGTGTTTAAGGACGTAGAATTCAACTTGGAGGAGGGTCGCACGTGATGCACGAGACAGAAATCAGGGATGACTACCGGGTTTCTGACTTGGAGTGGGTGGATAACATGGTTGCTTACCGAGCCAGGGAACAGGAGAGGTGGGGGGCGGGGGGAGAGAAGACGGCTCAGGAATGCCGATATTTAAGAAATCGGAGTAAGAGAACGAAGGATAGAGGTAGGACCCTAATTTGGGCCGGGCGGGGCTTACAGCCGCGCGCACCCAGCCTCACGCGCCGCCACCGCCGCCTCCTCCTACTCCCCCTCCCTGTGCTCGCGGGCAGCTTAACACAGTAACCCACGCGACGAAGGAGATGCCACTCGGGACGCAGCTGGAGCCCCGCGCAGGCCCAGTGGGTGCCGAGCGCGGAGCCTGCGCAGTTGGGGGAAGTCGGGGCCTCGGGATCCTCGCCCGCACCTCGCCTGGAACCCAGCGGCTGCAGCAAAGCTGCCATCCCCGAAGCCCGCCGCTCCTTGCTCCCGCCCCTTCCGTATTTTGGTCGCGCACGGGTTCCGTCAGTCGTAGCGGCCATTGGCTGCTAGAGGTATCCGAGAGCGATGATTGGCTCTCGGTGGCCGTCGCTCAAGCGCCCTTCCGGAGATGGTCGGGGGTGGGAAGAGCTGGAGAGACCCGGGAGCGGAGGGACGGTAAATTGGCTTCCGGCTTGACTGGGCGGCTTTGGGGACGCTCTGAGTAGGCTGCTCAAGCCAGGCTCTTCCCTAGTCACCTTGGCTAGGCTTCGTCTTGTAGCTCGGCCACGCCGGTCGGCCTGGCGCCTGCAGCGCCCCTGGCCCTTAGTCCCTAACCCCAACTCGAACCTCCCTGCTTTCTCGTGTGGGGCTTGGCTGCTGCTGAGACGTGGTCACCGCCATGCCTTAATGCGGGAAGCACTACGAGAAACCTGCGGGGCTGCCAGGAGGGTCTCCTTTCTTCTCTTCGAACTCTCCCGGTGTTTCAGGGGCCCGATCCCGGCCGCTCAGGACAAGTCTTCCCCGCTTCGCCTGTGCACTGGGATTTCTTTCTGTCCTGACCTCCCTCATCGGGTGCTTTGTTTTGGCAGTTGTCTTCACACGTCAGAGTCATCTCTTCGGCCAGATTGTGAGTCCTTAGGAGGTTCAGGACATCAGTCCTTTCTTTTCTTGACTATCGTTCAGGGTTAATTTGATGCCTTGCGTTAAAATATATACTCAAGTATTTGCTGGTTGTTTCTTACTGTGACCCCTGATGAAAAGAAGTGTTGGGAATCCGTCGGGTTGTCCTTTTGTTGACCTTTTTGTAGAATTCTGCTTAGATCATCTCACCGTCAGAAGCAAGGATACAAATAGCTGACGCTTGTTGAGTTCTAGGGGTGTGTTATGCTAAGCATTTTAATCTACATTATCTAGTTTAGTCCATAAATCAATCCAGTGAGACAAGTTTAATGATTCCTCTGCTATATGGGAAACTGAGGCTTAAGTAACTTGCCTAGGGCCCCACAGCTAGTAAATGTTGGAGCTTTCTAACCAGTTTTGTTGACTCTAACATCAGCTGTGATAGTAGTATCCTGTTTTACATTTAGAGAAACAGGTTCAGAGAAGCTAGGTGATTTATCCAAAATAAAATAATAAGTCATAGATTCACGTAAACATTAAAAGAGCTTGTATTAGGATGTACTGGCCCTGAAGTTAGAACTGAACAGGGCACAGGCCAGGCTTTCTAGGAGCTCACAGTTTATTGGAGGAAACTGACAAAATAGCTACTTAATGAAACATGTTTGGGGTATTGTGTATACAGATATGAGGTCTGTGGAGAGGAAGGAATCAGACAAGGAGTGATAAGATGGCAGATGTAGAAAGAAAATGGAACCAAATTCCCTGGCTTTGAATTCTGTCTCCATCACTTCCTAGCTTGTGGCTTTGGGTAAATTATTTAACCTATCAGGGCCCATTTCCTCATTTGTGAAGTGGGATAATAGTGGTACTTCCCTCAATAGGTAGGTGGTTGTATTAGTGAGTTTTTATATACATAAGATTCTTAGAACAGTGCTTTGTCTACAGTAGGTACTTAATGTTACATTATTCTAGGCAGAGTAAAATCATTGAGATGGGGAACTTGAGCCCAGGTTTTCTGACAACTTGTCCATTGCCCTTGCCAGTATACAAGTTGCCTCACTTTGCTCACAGAAAGAGGAGTGGTGACCAGATTGTCACTGTCCCACTGTTCCCCAGGCTAGAAACAAGTAGGACACAGGCAAAGAAAGTAAAGGAAGCTGGGGGACGACAAAAGAGGAATTCAGGGGGGCGCCTCGGTGGCTCAGTCAGTTAAGTGTTTGACTTTGGCTCAGGTCATGATCTCACGGGTTTGTGAGTTTGAGCCCCACGTCGGGCTCTGTGCTGACAGCTCAGAGCCTGGAGCCTGCTTCTGATTCTGTGTCTCCCTCTCTCTCTGCCCCTTTCCCACTCGCTCGCTCTCTCAAAAAAAAAA